AATAACTGCTTCCAATTATCTTTTCCAAACTTGAATCATAGAATCATAGGACCTTATCACACGGGGCTCAATGCAGACAGAATCCAAACGAAATCCCGACCTAATACATATTATTTTTCCGTGTGTCCACACGATGTTGCACAGAACCCCGACAGAACCCCGACAAAATGTGTGAAGAACCGAGATCTTTTGAATTTTGGTTTCTTCAGGAATTACAATTGCGCAACGGGAATCATATCGCTTTTGCCATTTGGTCTGATCACAAAATACGTATTGGGGAGCATTTCCCTGCCTGCGCTCCAAGGAGGTCCTCCCCGGAGAGCCGCCTCTCTGAGGACATCCTCCTTGGAGCGAGGCCCCACTTGGAGCCGGCTCTCCGGGGAGGTCCTCCTTGGAGCGAGGCCCCACGCAGGATCTGCACTCAGAGGAGGTCCTCCTCGGAAAGCCGGCTCTCTGAGGACGTCCTCCTTGGAGTGAGGCCCCGCGCAAGGTCTGCGCTCCAAGGAGGACATCCTCAGAGAGCCGGCTTGGGAAGGGGTGACAGCCACGGCAACTGACAGCCGCAGCTGTATTGCGCATGTGCTAGAAGAGCATTTCTTGCACATGTGCGAGATTTTCTCACTTGTGTGTGAACAGCAAATACGGTTCCCGGGAGCGCTTTCCTTAAAAGCGCGATGAAGGTAAGTGCGTGTGATAGCCATTTGCGTATTGTGGGGTTTCGTCTGGTTTATTACTGGATTTATTCTTATTTCACTTTGTTATCGCTTTGTGGGCTGCATGTGATAAGGTCCATAGAGTTGGAAGAGACCACAAGGGCCATCCTGTCCAACCCCCCCTTCCATGCAGGAACTCAAAATCAAACAATCCCCGACAGATGGCCATCCAGACTCTGCTTAGAGACCTCCAAAGAAGAAGACTCCACAACACTCTGAGGGAGTGTGTTCCATTGTCGAACAGCCCTTACTGTCAGGAAGTGCCTCCTAATGTTGAGGTAGAATCTCTTTTCCTGTAGCTTGCATCCGTTATTCTGAGTCCTATTCTCTGCAGCAGCAGAAAACAAGCTAGCGCCCTCCTCAATATGACATCCCTTCAAATATTTAAATAGAGCTATCATATCCCCTCTTAACCATCTCTTCTCTAGGCTAAACATATCCAGTTCCCTAAGTCATTCCTTGTAGGGCATGGTTTCCAGACCCTTCAACAATTTAGTTGCCTTCCTCTGGACACACACCAGTTTTTCAACATCCTTTTTGAATTGTGGTGCCCAGAACTGGACACAGTATTCTAGGTGGGGCCTGACCAAAGCAGAATACAGTGGCACTATTACTTCCCTTGATCTAGATACTATACTTCTATTAATGCAGCCTAAAATTGCATTGGCCTTTTTTAGCTGCGGCATCACACTGCTGACTCATGTTCAACTTGTGGTCTACTAGGACTCCTAGATCCCTTTCACACATAGTCTCATTAAGCCAGGCATCCCCCATCTTATAGCTATGCATTTCATTTCATTTTTTCCCCTTAATGAATAGATTATATATGGATTGAATGCTGCCAAGGAGTACTTTACTAAAGAATTTTAGACTTTGGAAAGTTACTTTCTTATGCCACATCTCTCACTATTCCCTGGGAAGCAGGCCCACTGGCCATGAAGATTTGTCATCTTAAAAATGACCTTTTACAAGCCCTTTATATGTGCAAACTGACTCAGATTTCCTTTTGGCTTGTCCTTTTGGAGAAATGTATTGTGAGGCAACACAGAAATGGCTAGCTCCAATTTGCACAATCACAAGTATCTTTCTCTTTGCTAGTTACTCTAAATGGAAAGTGCTTCTTTCTCCACCTCTCCTTGCCTTTTTGCAGATGCATATTTTAAAATATAAAGCAATGAAAACTTAGAAACTTATCGTATTGTTAAATAACTTGCCTTACCTGATTCGGCTTAAAATCAAATTTGGGCAGTGTCACAAGGGTTTTGCTGCCAAAATCACCGCCCAAATGCAGCCCAGGGCCATCCCCACTCCTAGAGCCACTCAGCATCACTCTTTTCAAAGGCAGGAGTTTTCTGACTTGAGAAAATGGCCACTGGAGTGACTCCTGGAGTGGGGATGGTCATGGGATGGCCCCAGGATGGTCCCAGGTGGTGATTTCAGTAGCAAAACCCTTGTGATAGGGCCTGGATGCCGCCTACATTTATTTTTAAACCAGATCAGCTAAGACAAGTTATTTAACAATGTGATAAGCTCAATAGACTGTATTTCTTTAAAATTACAACAATCGACTGAAGCAAGTCTGGCTAACTTGAAAGCAATGGCAATATAATAAATGAAATATTGCAAAACACAAGTAAACAAAAATACAATTTTCTCTTTTCTTAATGCTTGTAGGTTCCTATTAAGTGAAGGCAAAAGTGTCTGTAAGATCTCTGATCACAGCCAGCCTTCTGTCTACCTATGCACTAGTTTAAAAAGTGAAAGCTGTGGGAATATGTTAGAATATACAGGATCTCACACATAATATTCTCAAAAGAAAATGTGAAAACCTGTATACCAAGAATCAGGAGGAGGACAAGTTACCTCTCTCACCCATTGACATTTAGTCATCATTAAAGTGTATTTACTTGTCCCCTACATGTGTTCAGTAGTCCAGTGCCTGGTCATTTGGAAGACTTAGCCCCTTTGCCAGTTTAGCTTCCCATTCTATGCTCCCCACAATTCTAGGGTCCATGCAACTACTCCACACAATTTGTGTGGGACAATCAGACTACACATATACAAGAAGTGTGGCCTAAATTTATCAGTCCAAAATGTTAGATGAGATGATAATTTGAAGCTTGTTCATTGTTTTTAAAATATGATGGCTAGGGTTCTCTATTTGTTTTTCTCAGGCACTGCAACCAATTCAGAACATACTCATTTCTCCTGGCCAGCAGTTGTAGCTGCTCTGATTTTCTTCTGCACATGTTTAATCATTTTGGGGATCAGAAAATGGTGTCAATATCAAAAGGAAATGTAAGTATATACACTCAGAGCATTTTACATTCCAATATGAAGTGTTCCACTATGACACAAGCCCATGGAACAGTGTTGGATCTGTTTTAGATAATCTAATTAGAGTGGAGTATAACTGCATTCTTGAAATTGTTGGAGCTAAGCCCTATTTGTCTTGAGTGGGACTCGAGGCATTCAAACTAAAAACAATATAAACACCTAAAACAAAGGGAATAATATGGATCCATTAGTGATTAAAAATCCACTATTGGGCAATGCCTTGATTAGATCCAATCAAAATGCCATAAAATTATGCAAGCCTTTAGATTCTACAGAATGCTTAATGCTTCAGGAGTTTAGGTGGCACCTAAAAGAAGGGGAAAATAGAAACAGAAAAATCCAAATATTGGTCTAGTTATTCTGTCCAAGAAGTCTGTAGTTAAAGTCAGTATCATGATGGAGATTGTAGAATGAATTAATCACTTGTAGAAGTGCAGGTATCAGGATAAACCTCATGCTGGATTACATTGGTAGCATGAACTTTCTGCACCTTATGTATCTGAAGATGTAGGCTCGTCTACAAAAGCTCATGGCACCAACTTCTTTGTTTTAGTTAGTCTTATAGGTGCTACAAGATCCCTTTGTATACTTTATTTTTAAAAAAAGTTATTTGACCAACATCAGTACAAAACAGTATTTTAAACTGTTTTGCATAATCACCTTCACTAGTTGTGTAACCATTTGTATTTAGTAGCACAACTGTTTGCACAAGAGGTTGTGCAGAGGCTTATGCAATATGTTTGTTTGAAGTCCTTGTTCAACAAGTTGTGCAACAAAACAAAACCCTATACTGGATATCATCCTGGCAGAACTCTGAAAATGTGCAATTGCTAGAGCAATGGACCTTCTACTAGTTCTGTGACATAATAACAGGAAATAAATCCTTAATCCTACATTTACATGAAGAAATTTTGAGTATTATAGATGGCCTTCCTATCCATTAAATAAGCCCATAGTGTCAGCAACTTAATTGAGATGTTTACCTTTTCAGAATGGGTTCCTTTTAAAATTTTGCCTACCTTTGCTTCTGTTTTATGAGTGCTTTATTTTGCATATTTTAAAATCACTCTTTCCATTTTAGCATGAACAGACCACCATCTTTCAAGCCACCACCACCTCCAATTAAGTATACCTCTATGCCAGTATGTGCCGGAATTTACACAGCCTGCAATGAACTGGAAAATCTATAATGGACCTGAAGTGTTCTGGTCTAATAATGGATTCTTTGACTGTATGTCTTATACAATAGATTGCAGGAGTTCAGTGGCAGTGACCCATATTCCAATTTAGACTGCTTAATCTTGCATTAATGTCAGGAACATGGTATTCCTAAGTACACTTACTCAGGGCAATTTACCTCCTGCAGTGAAACTGACATAGTGAAGCCAAACATATCTTAAATTACAGATACTCAACCTGAGTTGTGTGATCAATAAGGAAATCACATAAAATCATATTATTTTTGGCTACCTAAAAAAGGCAAGATTTAAGTTTATGAAGTTTAGAGTCACTCTTCATACTTTTTTCATATTTATCCTGACTTTAAAAATAAACCAGATAGGACCAATTTCTGTATTTTCAAGGGCGGTCCTGTTCTTCTCACACATGGGCATGATCAGAAACAACAGTTGCCTGCACTGAAGGTCAGCCATCGACAAAAGGTCAGGGCCTCAACTACAAATGCAAAGAACACACAAGACTATCACAGAAACAAGACAAATGATTAATAAATCCAATATGTATAACTATTGTGAAAAAAAGAGAAATGGCAATATATACAGAGTTCAATAGAATCTCACACATAGGATATGAAAACAACATGCAATGTAGCCAAAAGTGGTATTACATATATGAAAATATGAAAATGTATCTAAATTTTTATTGTTGTGTGCCTTCCGGTTATTGGGCTGAGAATATGCGAGTCACCCAACATCACCCAGTGAGTTTCCATGACTGAGCAGGGAATCAAACCCTCTTCTCCAGAGTCATAGTCCAACACTCAAACCACTATACTACACTGGCTCTCACTGGATATATACATATATGATGTAAATATATCAAAATACATGGTGTCAAAAGACATGGACACACTTTAAATGGGATATATAACAATATATATGTATACAATCAAGTTCAAGGCTTATATAAATAGACTCCAGCTGTGAGATCAAGTAGTTGTAAAAGTACAAATTATTATGACTGAAGAACTTTGAATTATTGTGATTGTGAATGATAAATGACCTAGCTGTAATACAGAACTTGTTTTAGTATTAAAAATTCCTGTTCTTCAAAATCAACAGCTTGTGGACAATTTCATTTCCCACACTCTTTTTCAGAATCTCTCTGGGCCTTTGCAGACTCCTAGAAATAGTGCAAATTGAGTCCACTTTAAGGGTTAGGGTTAGGGTTATAGAATCACGGGAACTGTATTTTATTGTGGCACCAGAGCTCTCTGACAGAGAAGGCTCAATGTCTCAGAAAAAAAATTCCCATGATTCCCTAGCACTAACCCTAACCCTTAAAGTGGACTCAATTTGCACTATTTCTGGCAGTCTGCAAAGGCCCTCTCTCTCTCTCATTCTCTCTCATTCACTTTCAATCTTCCTTCTCCTTTACATACACATACTTAGTTATTTATTAGGGATGGGAATAATATTTGAAAATATTTGAAAAACATATTTCTCAAATGTTGATAAATTATCATGAAAAAATCCCAGATTGACAATAATGTTTATAGACTTACTGTATGGAAACTTTGCACATGGCTGCTTTGTGCAGAAATTTGCATTTTCTGTGTAGGAAAATGCTATTTCCTGTGCAGAAAATATTTCTACCTAGAAAATAATATTTCTGCATAGAAATATTATTTTCTGTGCACAAAATACTGATTCCTATGCAGAAAATGCATAATACCATGTGCAAATTTTGCAAAGAATAAGCCATGAACTATGACAAGATGAAAACTGTACTATTTTCAAACACTTTGTCACAGCAAAAATAAAATTGCTAAGATTACTCATTACTTTCTTTCAGAAGAAATTATTAAGAATTGCATGCCTACTATGTGTGTTATTGGGGTTGCTCAGATGTAGGAGAAAATTTAGGTAGTCTGCAATCCTATGATCCTACTCCCTGCTGTTTCCCTGCTCCTATTAACAGCAGGGAAGCACCAGCCATGACGAAGATCTCTTGGGATAAGGGTGGCTTAAATGTCATCCTATCAGTCCTGTTCAAGATCACCATTTCCCTGCTGTGGGGAACATTTCTTTAAATGTTCTTTATGTTCAAATATTCCTACACCTCAGCAAGTCTGCTCCAGATTGCTGGGCTGTGGTAAGGTTAAAGCTCACATTAGTGACATGGAATTAGTATACAATTGACCATTATACTGTTTGAACTGGAACTGTTTTAGAATTATTATTTTTAAAAAAGAAATCATGAACTATTTTGTATATATTTTCAATGTCTAGAAATATTATAAACAAAATAAATATGGTGATGTAGTAGCCACTGAACACCAGAAGATGGCTCTGTAGTATTAAATTTTCTCCTACTTGAAAAAAATTTCCTATATAATATATGGGCCCAATGCAGTGTATAAATAGCTATTGCATTTGCTAATATGCAATATAAAGGTGTTTTGTTTTGCTTTGCTTTGTTTTCTTTTCTTTTGTTTTGTATTGTTTTGTTTTGTTTTAGGACTGGTTTAAATCTACTTAGACTGAGTAGATAATTCAAGGGTTTTTTTTAATGGCACTTGTTTAGACGAAAGATGATATGTATTTATGTTAACTACCACTAGCCAGTCTTCTCCACACTTCATATTTCACTGGAAGGGCATGGAATTTTTTTGATACCATACCTGAAAAACTTGTGCATTAGAATAAAAATAGTATGGTTGCCAGCTGTTAGAGATTTAACCAGGTTGAAAATACTGTGTTCTTAAAAACCCATTGTTTGCTATCCATATACATACTAAAAACTCATTAGGGAGAGAACATGGAATTAAAACACCAGCCCAAGTCCAACTTGAGTATTTATTTTTTCAGATGAAGAAGAACTCATTGATCTTGCCATGGACAGCTCCTGAGAGGTTTACAGGCAGTGAATCAATAGGTTTGTAATAATACAGGCCAATGGTTTGGGTTGAATCACACAGAAATGCATTGAAAATACAACCATAACTCATTCTTAAACAAACCTCAATACTTTTAGGGCTGATTCCAGCAAAAAATGAGGTTTGTTGTAACAGTTACAATGTGTTTTGAACTAATTACTTCTTTCATGTTTTGTTAGCTTTGTATTTCTATTGTTTTGTTTAATTGGAAGGATATACTTACTGCTCTATTCATTTTCAGCCATGACTTCTGGGTGACATTTTTTAGTTGTCTTAATTATGGGCCTAAGGAAAATATTATGGTGGTAGAAGAAGGAACTGCCTTAATCATATAGGTCTGGCTGTCACTGAACTGATAAAGCTGTGTCTTGAAGCAACACTTTTCTTTCTGGGATAGAAGAAACCATCAAATGTTTAACTCCATTAAAACTGAAAATACAAGTGAAAGATAAGTGTCAAGATCACAGGGATGTAGAATAGATTAGGGTTAGGCAAATTGTTTCCTATTAGCCACAAGTGGGCCTGAAGTCATTATTGTGGCTCCTTCTCCCAATTTTTTTGGCCTAAAATTGGCCTAACATGACCCCAAAACATTCAAGAAGACTGGGGCCAAATCACAGAATCATAGAGTTGGAAGAGACCACAAGGGCCATCCAGTCCAACCCCCTTCCATGTAGGAACTCAAAATCAAACTATCCCCGACAGATGGCCATCCAGCCTCTGTTTAAATGGGCCACCATTGAATGGAACACATTTATGGTTTTGAAAAACCTGGGCCTAGAGACACTGGGATGAAGCAGATGGGGCAAAAGGAGTGACCAGAGGCTGCTCCCACTCTGATTGCTGCAGGATCATGGCAACCAGATGCCGCAGTCCCAAACGGGCGGTAAATAGGAACCATAAGAAACCACTCCTTCTGCAGTTGGGTTTGGGCTGCATTAGGAGGCACTGGCACAGCCTCCATGTGATTCAGGGTTATGCATCATGTGCATGCCCCACCCCTGGATCAGCCCAATGGTGGCCCATTTGGGCCATCTGTTTGAGGCCATCTTCCACAGAAAAATAGCCTGAAATAGCTAGTCATGTCTCCTTGAATCTTGTATGAGCACAGCTCGCAAATGGTCATATAAAAATAAGGAGAGCAGTGGCATCACGGGGTGTGTGTGTGTGTGTGTGTGTGTGCAGACTGACACCCTAAGGGAAGTGCCACCATTGCTCCTCAAACACCTACCTTTGGGCAGAAACGGGCTGTGGCATTCAATTGCTTCCCTTTAAAATACTTTAAGAGATGGTGGGAGTGGGGTAAAGCTCAGTGGGAGGAGAAAGGAGAGGCCTCAGATTTTTTTTTAAATTAACATTTCAAATTTCATTTTTTTTAAAAAAAAAATATTCTTTTAAAATTTTCTTTAAAAACATCACATTTTAACCAAATCTTTTACTATGTATAGGTAAATACATTTAGGTTGTATGTATGATATTGTAATGTGAAGGTATAATTTTAATTTTGCTATTGTTTACATCACAACTATAAGTAGACTATTTTTCCAATTATAATAAGTAGACTATTTTTAAATCGTAGGTAATTCCAAATCATAATACAATATTAAGTTATATTTAGAATATATTATATATTATCATAAAAACTAAGAAATAAAATTTAATGAACAAATAAATTTACCAAAGTTTTATTGTATGAATCACCAATCAAAAACATAATAACATACTACAGCTGTATCCCCTCAAACTATCAATTTATCGTTTGATCAGATCATACATATAAATTTAATAATAAAAAAATTGATTCAAATTTATTGATTCTATTTTAAGTACTTTTTACGATTTGTAATAGCGGCTGCAAAATTTTTTGCAACTGCTAGTGTTATACCTTCCTTTTGATCCGCTAATAGGTAGTTTGTATAGAATTCCATTTGCCTACCTGGATATTGTAATATGATTGGAGGGCACGTATATCTGCATATAGAGAACAACCAAAAATTACATGATTTATATTTTCATCTTCTTCTGACCCATATATTGATAGGGGGTCTTTTTAAATCTGCCCTCCAGGACTGCCGAAAGTATTATATTAAACCTTGCTAACATAAAAGCTCTCTTAAATTTCACAATTTCATTTTCTTTAAGTTTTCTATATGTTTTGCTAAGATTTACAAGTTTACTTTGAAGAACTCATGACATATAATTGATGTGACGTGTCCTACAATTATCCTTCCGTTTTTCGCAACAATGATAGCTATATGGCAGCAAAAAAAATAAAAAAAATAGATTTAGAAAATCATCAGGGGGTACAGCCATAGTATACTATCATACTTTTGATTAGGGATCAATATAATATAACTTTGGCAAATTTACTCTGCCCATTAAAAGACATTTCTTCATTTATAATATTATATTCTAAATATAACTCATCATCCTATCTTGATTTGGAATCATCTGTGATTGTAATAACAAAGACTAGACTTAGATAGTGTGAGGGGGTATGGTTATAGTATATTATCATCTTCGATTAGGAACCAATATAACATAATCTTGGTGAATTTACTCTGTCTATTAAATTTTATCCCTCAGTTTTATAATAGTACATTTTAAATAGTACATTTTAAATACAAATTTGTTATTGTATTGTGATTCGGAACCACCTATGTTGTAAAACAATCTATTTATTGTTTTTGGAAGTCTGATTTGCTTCCGTATGATTTGTTTATATTTACAAGTTTATTTTTGAGAACCTACTGTGTATAATTGATATGAGGTGTTTTATATCATTTTTGTTTATTTGTAAAATGCTGGCCATATGGCTGTAATAAAGTTTGAGATTGAGATTGAGATTGAGACATCACAACTATTAGCATTATATTCAGTGGTATATGGGAATTATGTTTTATGA